GGGGGGGGGGGGGGGGGGGGGGGGGGGGGGGTGGATGTTCAATAAACAAAGCTCCATGCAAACGTGGTCTGGGGGAGGCTGTTCACTGGTGCATGCAGTTGATTACAGCAAGATCATATCCCCGGGGCTGGGGGGGGTCAGCGTGACAGTGAATTAGCAATGTATCAACTCCGTCTGCGGCCTCGGAATCCCGGCCCTGACCTTCACATTGTGTGCTCAATTGCAGTGACAAAAACAGAAGCCCCCCCACCCTCCCCTCGCAGCCCCCCAGGGGACACTGTCATAGAAAACAGGGACGGCGCTCTTTATTGGCTGGCTGACACGCTAGAAATGCGAGTAAACGGTATGGCTGAGTGCCAACTCGGATCCCTAATGGAACCCGCTCTTCTGGGCCCCCAGCGTACCGGGCCAGGCGTTCGGGAAGTGTGTCCCGCTCGCTGTCAGTCCCCGTGACAGGGAGCAGGATTTCTGGAATTGTACCTGTAAATGAGTAACAGACTTTTCCAAGTCGCCGAGGCAAAGCACAGGATTCTTTTAGCTGCGGACTCGCATCTGCAAAGTGTTTCGCTCTCATCCATGAATCTAGAATCGGGTTTCATAACGAAGCGCGGGGCTCGTCATGGATCACACTGTCGTCGGCATCATTCCAGCACGGAAGCCCCCCCTGCCCCCCATATTTACTCATCATCATGTTTGCGGTCAGATCCCCCCGTGGATTCTCTTTGCTCCGGGCCAGCAGGTTCAGCCCGCTTTGTGGTGGGTGGCCGTGTGACTCCGGGTCGGGACGGTTCTGGGAGGCCCTACCCAGCAGCACCGATCCAGTCTGTCCCCCTCGTCACAGGGTCTATGTGTTTTTATTGCCGTCACCTCTCTTAATTACTTAATTAGCAGCATAATTTTGATTCTGTCAGCATGTTCTTTCTTGAGAGTGATGCAGGTCGGCTCTTGTGTCCGTCCACAAGTTTCCGGATTCTTCCTCCCGGCCGTGGGCTTTGAGAATGCTTTGGCTCTGGCAGTAAGACCCTCGCCTGGATATCAGCTGCTGGCACCAGGTTCAGGGTGACACGGGCGGGCGGGAGGTTGGTTTAGTTATGCTGTGCAGATGATGATGGTGCAGGGCTTTGCCTTCACTCAACCTTGAATTCCTACACACACACACACACACACACACCCCCACACACACACACACACACACCCCGAACGACATCTCACACAGAGACTCATTCTCTTATTTACCAAGGAGCAGCTCTTAGAGTGAGACAGCCTGAAAGGGAACCCAAAATCAATAGGGGATGGAGGGGGGGGGTGGGACATTATCTCTGATTGACGTAACCAGCTAATATGGGACATTGGGGTCTGAGAAGTGACATGAAGGTGTGTGTGTGTGTGTGTGTCTATGTGCATGCGTGTGTGTGTGTCTGTGTGTGTGTGTGTGTGTCTGTGTGTGTGTGTGTGTATATACGTATGTGTGTGTGTGTGTGTGTATACGTGTGTGTGTGTGTGTGTGTGTGTGTGTTTTCCTCTCATCCTCATGATGAACGTGACCTTGTCATCGGGAAGGATGAAGGCCCAAAGAGAGGAGCAGCCGCTCTGGGGGGCTGATGATGATGACATTAATAATACCAAATGCCTGCTGACTGGACATGCCCCCCCCCACACCCTGCCTGTCAGTCACGCTCTTTGCACCAATGGCCCCTGTGCTGATCGACTTTGCGTGAAGCTGCTTGGCCTCATTTCCACGCATCGCCGCTCCTCCCACATTTTCAGAAACAACATTTATCATTATTGCAACAATTTGGCCAACTTATTATGATTTTTTTTTACACTATGAAGTTGTGAGTAAGTTAAGTTTTCCCCGGGGGGGTTGACTTTCTGTTATCAGTCAGAAATATGTCAGGTGCCGATTTCAGGCTGTGAGAGAGCTGTCAGCTCACTGGACCATGATTGGCGGGTCGCAGATGGATTAGAATTCAGTATTTGGTGAAAAAAAAAAGTAAAAGCGATTGCAACTTTATTCAGATCTCTCTCTCACAGCCTGATGCAGCAAATGAAAGGTATCAGCAACGCCAGGGACCATGTTTATGGTCCATGCTCTCTGTCATATTCTTTTGGACTCAAAGAGGAGAGGACAGAACTTGGGGACGTATCCAGATATCAGAACCACAGGACAGACCCTTGGGAGAGACCGACAGATCACAAGCTGAGGACAAACCCAGAGATCAGACCCAGATCTTTCTTACACACAGTCATTATTTTCTTATTTCCAGTTGGTTCTGATATAAATGCACCAACTGTGATGGAAGCTGGGGGTCAGAGTCCCAGTCGAGCTGGGGGTACCGATGGGGCCTGGCAGACCCCGGGGGGGGGGCGCAGCTGAAGGACAGATACAGGCTCCCGGAGTGACTGCCTGGTGCCGGCGATTCTGCAGCGCTGTCACAGCGCTCCGCCTGCGTCCCTCACTGTCACTGGGCCTGTCACCCCCAATGCTGTGTCACAACCTGGCCAAGCGTGAACCAAGTACCGCCCAGGCTTCCAGAGGGAAGAGGGACCGGGAGAGTGGGGGGGGGGGGGGGGGTAGAGAAAAGACAACACCAAGCCAACTTCATCACTTTTGTTCCATCGCTCTTCATGCATTTCTCTCCTCCGCTCTGCTGTCCGTCAGACGGATCAGGCTGCCATCGCTCCTGCTCGGACGGTTGTAGTGTGCCCTGCATTGTTTGGATATAGATGATATGCTCGGCACTAATCAAATGCTCCTGTGATAAAATGTGTCCCTGGTCTCAGCATCGGGTTACAGATTTTTGGAGAGTACCTTTGTCATTGGATAGGCCCCCGGATGAAAGCCGGCCTGTCACACATGCAGCCCCTGGCTGCTTCAGCGGGCACTTGTGAGGGCAGCTCTTTGTTTTTTATTTGGGTCCTTGGGTCCTAAGCCCATATTTTCTGCTGTAACTTTCCAGGCTGCGTGGTGTCATTGTTTCACACCGTTTAGCTGTGTGTAGGTGTTTCCATCTCCCAGGTTCGAACGGCGGACAGGTCCCCCGCGAGGTCACCGTGCAGCATGGCGTGTTTCTCACGTGCTGTGATCAGAGACAAGCTTCCTCGCCCTTCTTTTCCACCGAGAGGCCCTGGCAGTGCAGGAGCTCAGTGTTTGATAGTGTTAACCTCCACAGACTGGCTGCTCCTTGCTCGTTTTACACTTGCAAGCACAGGTGACATCAGGAAGAAGTGGCTGATCTAACAGAGGTGGTGTGGTGAGAGCCAGGCTCTGGACAGGGAGGGGGGGGGTCACACGGTCAACGAGCTGTTTCTCATGCCTCAGCAGAGTCACTCTGAGTGTGTGACTATGTTTGCCCCCCCCCCCCCCCCCACACCGGGGTCCCAACCTCCATGTTGGCTGTGAGGATTGCATCCTACATGTGCTGACTGATTTTAATCAGCCTCAGAATTAAAACCCTCCTAACGCAGGATGAGGTGCGATGCCGCTGTGCGTGGGGCCTCTAAATGCTGCCCCCCCCCCCCCAAGCATTTAGCAGATTATCAGGTCCATGCAGACGTTGTCGGAACCCCCACCCTGCGCTCCTTATTACTGGTCTCTATGCAGTATTTCTTTTTTATGATATAGTTACTGGCAGAGATGATTATAGGCCAGTCTATGGTTTCTGTGGGATCTTCTGATCTGCTCTCTCTTTGACCTTCTTGACGGCACAGCGCGCAGTAAAACTGATAATCCCAGACTGATCTGTATCCTGATGGCTGAATTGGTAAGGCGTTGCTGCTTTATGGTAGTGCGCTCAGCTCCAGGCCCGACCCGTGTATAAGCCGAGATTCATTTCCACGTTCTGCCCACTTTCAGCCGACCCCCCAGGTTTAGCATTGGTGCTAACAGCCTTCTTCGCTCACACCGCACCCTGGATGTGGGTCACTGTGCCATCCCGAAAGCTGGCACGCTGCCGCCTGACGCCGGGGGCCGGACCTCTGCCCTCCCCCCTCCTCTGATTGGTCCCTGGGATTCATTCATGCCAAATCGATTATCCACCTAAACAATGCTTTCCGTTGCGTTTAGACTTCATTTGCATAATGAGGCAAACAAATTGCCCTCATTTTTGTGTTTGTTTTAAATGAACAATTTACTGTATTAGTCATAATTGGATGAGGAAATTTGTAAAGCGCAGGTCTTACCAGCTTCAGCTGACTGCCGTGGTTCTGCCGAAGCTGTGAAGGCATCTCCGCATCGTGCAGGTGTCATGCCCCTTGGTGGGAAGTGTGCTAAGCGGGCTCTTTCTCTTTGGTTGGGCGGGATTGTGGGAAATCACCAGTACGGAACCTTGTCGGTGTAAATCCCAGTGCTGCCCACAAAGGGCCTGAGAAAAGACTGAATTCTTAGCTCCCCCTGTGAAACGCTACCCCCCAAATGGCCCCCCAGGCTCTGCCCAGCTATACTGTCCACGCCGTGCCCACTCAGCCAGAAGTGTTATTACCGTGATGCCTACGGTCGCGGTAATGACTCGAAGATTAGGCTTATGCAGACAATGGCTTTGGGTCTGCCAGTCTCTACACCGGGGCTGCCAGAGAGCTTTCTGCCCCTGTCCTTCACCAGGAATATCATGTTCTCACAGTACCTTCACATACCTTCACCAGACGGTCATGTGATCAATCCACCAGGCCTCCAGAGGGCGCCCTGTTTGCTCTCACTCTCAGCTAGTGGATGGACATTGTGGGCGAATATGGCACTCTAGATCTGTGGTAAAGGGTACACTTCTGCCATCTGCTGGTAAGGACTGACGCTCCTTCTCTTCCAGGTGCACCAGGAAGGAGAGGTGTGAACGCTCCTCGGAGCCCAGGCGGTTCGCCTCGGACGCCAGGCAGTGTGTCCGCCTCAGTGTGCACCCCAACAACATCTCCGTGTCTCAGTACAGCGTCATGGTAGGTGCTCCGCACTCAGCTGCCACAGCCTCTCCTCTGTGTTCACGGCATGATTAACAGCAGCTCTGCTGCTTACGGGGTGCAGCGTATCCTGTGCTAGTAGCATGGCTGTCCTTTTGTACACCTTTAATATACCTTGCCCTGTATCTCAGTGGGCAATCACAGGAAATAAGCCAAGCTATTTGTCAGCCTGCTCTCACAGACACAGCGCCTCCTTCGTCATGTTTGCCTCGCTCCGTGTCCAGCATGTTCATTCCCTTCCCATAACTCTGCGGTCTCTTCATTTGATCCCATCTTGAGCGAGGAGGTACGTTAATTCCCTCCTTTATCTCTGCGGCATGTCGTCCGGGGGGCGGGGCTAACAAACGGCCCATACCTTGGGGGCGGAGCCAAGGCATTCGAGAGCATGACGGCTTCTCTGCAGGCATTCTCAGTATTAGCACCTCTCATTTATGAATGGCTGCCGGCGTGGTGATGGCGTTTGGCAAGCGGCTGGTTACAGCCCAGAGGTTGGAGAATCCATCGAAGGTCATTCCGTCGTGATGGAATGGATGGCGGGAGTGTGAGGGGAGTGAGGTAATAGTCGAGCTTTGACGACAGCGGACAGGCCGTCACACACACCTCTGCAAGAATGAGGAAAAACCCAGAGTTCAAAGTTGACCATGTGTCCTCCTGCTTCAGGGGTCAGGGGTCAGGCCCAGGTGACAATGCAGCCGCCGCTGGTCTGCTCCGACCCCGACCTCAGAGCGACCTTCCCCGCCACCTCACGACTGCGCATGTGAGCCCCTTGCAGCTCCCGTATCGACCCACTGTCCGCACCACCTGCAGACGACGCCATCACGGAGGACATGGAGAGGTCGCTCCTGATTGGACCTCGCCGCCGTTTTTGACCTATTGTCACAGCTTATTATGTACAACCCTGATTACATCTCTGCATAGACGTGCCTTTGTTGGAACGAGCGGAGCATGCAATTTAAATCAAGTCTCTGGGCCTCCTGCTGCCTTTGATTGCATTCCTGCTGTTTTTGGGTAGCACTGGGTGCCTTTTGGAACGAGCAATTAGCCCTTCATCAGGGAACGTTCCGGACAGTCCGGACCTTTGCGGAGAGGAACCCGGGCTGACCCCTCTGAGGTTCCTCCACTTTTGTACAGGGAACATTTTCCTGACCCTACTTCTCCCTGCGGAGGCAAAACCTACAGAAAGAGACCAGTTAAATTGTTGTATCGGGCCGCTAACAATGTTTCTGGACCCAGTTAAGCTGAGGTGGCGTGTAATTCCGGCAGTTTTTCATTTCCCTGACTGGACCCGCTTCCCAGAACAGCCCAAGGTGACCGAGTGTGTGTGGCCTAATGGTCTGGATCCAGCATCCCCCCGGGGCATTAACCACAATGGTCCAAGGGCCCCGGAACATTCCGGAAATACGTGTGTTTTATTTGACGTGACCTTCAGAAAATTAGTAAACAGCACCGAAATGGTTTTTTCCTAATTTGTCAAGACAACAAACACACCACCTGTGTCTCTGGAAACTTCCGCTGTGCTTGTTGGAAGACGAGAGGTCCTGAACAGTTTGTGCATGTGGTTCTTAATGGTGTTTGGAAGAGGGCAGAATCTGTGCCTCAGGGTTTGGGGTCCTCCTCATATCCAGGGCGACCGCACGGCTGCCTGCAGCAGCCCCCACCGCACCGAGCATGAAAATAAAACAAACTTGAATTACATCCCTAAGTCAGGCAGGCCCTCACCTCCATGCTTGATGGGTGCCCAGAATCCCCCTGGGCCGTGTGGTTCCGTCAAACAGCAGGGGTCTACTGCTTCTATCTACAGCCCCCTGCAGGACAGACAGAGTACTGCGGACACCAGGACAAACTTGTTTGAAATTCCTCTCCTCTCCAGTCCTCAACCTTTTGGTTTTACTCTGTTCTAGTTAGACCATTTTTTCCTTGCATCATGGGAGAGAGAATGGCTCACCTTCTCATTCTCAGCCCTTCCCTCCCCCAATACTCGCTTTCTTCCCCCCCGCTCTCTCCACCTCCCCCCACGATTCCTCTCCTCTCCTCATTGGCAGAATTGAACGTGAATCCTTTTATCATTCGCTCTCTCTGTTCCCTCGACGGGCAGCTCTGTCAGGAATTTGAAATCTGTACGGCACGCCGGTGCGGCACTTCCCCTTTTACTAGATGCTTCTAAGCAAAATTTCTGTGGCACAGAAGCAGTTTAGCAAATGTACCTTTTTCTCATGGGTCCAACAGACGGTGAGGGCTGTGAGACTGAAACCGGCAACCTGTCCACCGTGTTCACAGCTCAGTTACCATATAGACGCTGTGTCTCGCACTGCGAAGACGCCCCTCTTGGCATCCTCACTGGTAGCGCGCCCCGGGCTCTGCCAGGCGCCAGGCTGGTAACCGTAGTAAACTGCAGCCGGCGGCTAAGAGCCGTGGCACTGGCGCGCGATGGCTTTCTTAACGCTCGGCATGCGTTCAGTCACACGCGTGGTCTGTGCGGATGAAAACACGACTCGCTCGCCCCCCCCTCCCCACCCTCCCTGGCTCCGCTTCTTCTCAGATGAGGATCACAGCTTCGTGGGTTTTTTTTTTTTCCACTGTGATTTTACTGGAGCGTGAGTCGAATTTTGCGCAGATTTCAGATTGCTTAGCACCTCGTGGTTTTTACAGGCGGATATCTCACCGAAACAGTCTCCGGCACGCAGAGAACCTCTGCCGGGAGCCAAACCGCTCACCCGCCCTGGACCACCGCGCTGCATCCTGCACCGGCAAAGTTCCCACAAAAAGTCGCTCTGCTTTCTGACTTTCTTTTCTCTCTCTCTCCCTGCCTCTCCCCTCAGCTGGTCCTGGAAGCCCACAACGTGCCAGAACTTTCTGCCGGCGTGAACTGTACCTTCGAGGACGTGGCGGAGATGGACGGTCATGTGGAGGGGAATCACATTCGGTGCATCTCGCCCACGGAGAAAGAGGTGCCGCGTGTCATCTTCGACAAAGGTAGGGGGCGCTCCTCAGCCGGGGTTGGCTGTGATTTTTACTTTTTTTTTTTTTTTTTTTAAGAAATTATCGATGGGTGAGTCTACCATTAACAGTACAGGTAGCCATTAGCATTGCTTGCTATTGGTTGCTGGGTGTCCGGTGGGCGTGGCCTCCTGAAAGGTCCTGAGCCACTACAGTGATGTTCCCCCTCCTCTCTGATAATTGGTCTGAGCCTTTTATACGTACCGACTGTGCTGCAGAGATGCGCAGGATGCGTCCATCCCCAAACGGGGTTCGATGTCACGTTACCATACGGTGCCAGGATACACCCCCCCCCCCTTTCTCCATCAGAGGCAGGCCTGGGGGGGCCAGGGGGACTGAGGAAAGCAGATGTCTCCCGTTGTCTTTGGGGAGTCAGAGAGCGGAGCTGCAGGCACAGTAACAGCTCTGCAGAGAGCCAATCCCCCCCATGAATATTTCACACCTAAATATTTGTACAGATGCCTATTTGTTTGCCGTTTCGTGCGAAAAATCCCCCTTTCCCATTTAAAAGTGATCAATATTTAACTAGCTGCTGAGCGTTTTTCGAGGAAGGACGGACGGCGGTATTCCTCTCCCCTTCATCGCTAATCCCCGATTTAAGCACGGTCGCTGCATCCTCACCAACCGGCTGCCCGTCCAACAAACACCTTAAGGCCTGTAGGGGGCGCAGCTGAGATAGACACCTTCGGAAACTACAGCTATTGGGAGGCCACACAAGCCTTCAGGCCCTGCTCTTGCATGGGGCCTGCTTCCTGCTACCTGCCTCAGCACCTCCTTTGCCCTTGCTTTGTCTTCTTGCAGCGCGATGCTAATGTTAGCCATTAGCAACATCTGCCAGCGTGGCGCTGAGGGGGGCTTCGGTGCAGGGTGATGGGGGTAAACCGGCTTGTCAGGCTGGTTTCTGGCACATAGACGATGATGTCAGGCATGGAGGAATCTCTTAGGGGGACCAGTTTTGACAGATAGGGTGTCACACGCGGTTTGCCATGATTGATGAACGATTCCATCACAGGTATGGGCAGAGGATGGAAGGCTCTTCGGTCCACGCCGGGCCTGCTGAATGAAACATGAGGCCGTTCGTTAGCTCAGACAAAGCAGCACGCAAAGCAGGATGGCTCCTTTGTACCGCGTCGTGATTAAACTCAGAGCGGGAGCCTATTTTTTTCCAATCTCACATTTCAAAGGGGCTTCGAACGACTGGCGTGGAAACGTTTTGATCTCTTGGACCTGGCGAGAGCCGCTCTATTGTGCCACTGGACGTGGGGGTGGTGGCGAGCATCCCGACTGGGGGGGCGCCAGAATCCCGCTCACGCTTCCCCCTTAATGACCTGAGCGCCAGCGAAATGAGTGCTGGACAGATGACAGAGCCCCCCTGAATTGCCAGTCAGCTGCCGGCCTAACCCTTTGATCTCGGTCATTAGTGTGGGACGATGTCACTGTGAGCCGCTGCTAGGGGCAGAGTGGCACCCCTGGGCTTTACTATGCCGGTGATGGTAGCAAGCTGGGCACCACCAGTCTCCTGCTCGCCCCTGACGAAAATCTTTGGATGCCAACGCTTGTGGACCGAGGGACCAGTTGAGGACTGGAGAGGAGAGGAATTTCAGTTTCTCTGTGGTGACTCTACCACCTCATTCCAGGAGACCACCAGATCGTCCAGCTCTACCTCAAGTCCAAGGAGACGGGCCTGACCTTCGCCAACACCAGCTTCGTCTTCTACAACTGCAGCGTCCATAGGTCGTAAGTGTCCCCGAGGTGCTGCTGCAGTAGGTGGTCTGGCAGGAAGGGGGCAGCACTGAGCTCAGCTCCTTTGAGGAAAGTGGAGAGAGAGACATACACATCTGCGGATTAGTCTGTGCTGGCGTCACACACTGTTGCTACTCTGCCCCCTACAGGTGTGTGTCCTGTGTCAGCAGCCCCTACCGGTGCCACTGGTGCAAATACCGTCACATGTGCACCCATGACCCTCGTAGCTGCTCCTTCCAAGAGGGTCACGTGCAGCAACCTGAGGTGAGTGCACTCCCGGCCTGCTGCCCATGTGTGCTTCTGATTGTTTGTTCAGACTGGATGTTCAGCTTCTGACTGGGTGATAATAAAAACTGCTTGAATCTGACTGGATTGTAGATATAGGGTAATTCACTTCAGATTAATTGTTAACCACAATATGTATGCGTCTGATTAAGTGTTTTTATTGGATCTTTTGGCTTTTTATTGGACCTTAGGTATACCATGTGTGGTTTTAATTAGGTCTTAAAAAATGCGAGTGTGGTTCCAATTAGATTTATAAATGAGAATGTGGTTCTAATGTGAGTGTGGTTTTGACTGGCAGATGCTTTGATGTTTAGGATTTAATGAGATCCGCCCAGAGCTGACCAGTTACACCCAGTTTAGAGCTTTATCTGCTTCTGATTGGACCTACAATTTATCGATTTATCCACGATCACCTGGGCAACAAGCAGGAAGATGCTGGTTGATTTTGGTTCCGAGTGAGAAGTCTTTCATGAATGGGGGGGGAGGGGACTCTCCGGAGACATGTACAGTAGGGGGAGAGTCATCCCTCCACCATGCAGTATGGGCTGGGGTGGGGTTAATTAAGGGCTAACCATGGAGGGCCCGTTAATTATAGAAATCCACTTTATGGTGAACTCCGCTGTCAATATCCACCACGTTACCATCACAGGAGCCATTTTCATCACAGGAAACTGCCGGCATATGCCGCGGATGAGTGCCGTTACATTCTGCCGTGTTTTTTACCAGTCTGTCTCTGGGCAGGTGTCTCATTTGCCTAATGAGTTTAATTTGGGTTTAATTAACCCCTCAGTGAAGGTCTCAGTTTTGTGTACCCCGCATTGCTCAGAATAAACGAGTTTGCCTGTTTGCCCAAACCCCTCTGAGACGACGCTGATATGTCAGCTTGTGGGGAGAGAAATGAGCTGACCTTCGCAGTCTGCTAATATTTCCTATTAAGGAATTTCAGAGAATTATTGGAATAATTTGCAGATGTTTTTTATTTACCCATCTAGAACTGTGCTTTTGTGTTCCTGTACAGGCCCACTTTTTTTGGAAGGCGGGGAGGGGTAGATTGGTTTCCAAACTTAGCGAGTTAACAAAGAATTGCACAAACATGAAAAGGGCACAGTGAAAAACAATATTCGAGATTTAATTTGTCACATGCACAATTAAACTGGTACCGCTTGCAGTGAAATGAAATTTTAAATGAAAAGGGAGCAAACCGGGATAAAAAACCTGGACAAAAGTTAGCATGACAATTTATAACATACTGCACAAACGTGAACGTGATAAAAAACAAGCGGAAAGAAAGCAAAAACCACAAGGCTGAAAAAAAAAACTGACACAAAAGATTAAAAAATGTAAAAAAATAACACGATGGTATAAACACCAACTGAACAAAGGGGAACACAATGGTAAAGAACTAGCTGAACAAAAGTGAATATGGCAGAAAAAAACAGACTGAAACAGAGTAACAGAGTGAAGTCATATGGTGCCTATTTTATTTTTCATCCGTGATTAGATAGGAGTAAATTTCCTTAATAAAATCTAATTATCAAAATCTAAGTTATAAATTGTAAAATGCTGCTCAATCCACACAGGATTCAGGCCTCCTGTTTCTTCTAACTTCTGTTCATCAGCTTTGCAAAGTTCAGGCTGTTCTGGGGGCAGCAGCCTTGAGCTATTTCCAGTAGCCGCTGCTCTCCTAGGGCATTGTGGGAAAGCAAAACAAAAATAGGATGTCCCAGTTGAAGTGAGATACTCTGTGTTTGCACAGTGGTGGAATCTTGCCCTGGCAGTGATGGTCTCACACTGTACAGAGTCAGGTGGGGGGGGGGGCAGTGAAGATCCACTTCATCTTTTCTTGAAAGTAATCGATTAAAAAAGAGGGCGAGAGAAAAATGAAGAGTCAGATGTGGGAAGAAGTTAGCGACTGACCCACTAAAGTGGATTACCTTATTATGGGTGTCTAATTGGCGCCCTTAATTGGTAGCGAGGCAGAAGGGATGATAATGAGTTCAGGGTTAATTAATTTATCGAAAGGCATGAAAACGTCTGGCTGCTGGAGCGGCTGGGCAGCCGAGATGTGTGTGCGTGAGAGACCGAGGAGGAGGGAGCAGTGTCTCCATAAGTATGTGGGCCCCGCTGTGTGAAGGGAGCATGTCCTCAGGGTCCAAGGCCGACTCCCTGATGTACGGATGATGCCTAATGAACCGCGTGCAGCCAGCACACCATGGAGCGGCTGCACTTCCAGGGTGCTGACAGTCAGTGTGTGAATATCGCTGTGTATCTGTTTGTGTACATGTCTCTCTTTGTATGAGTGTGTGTTTCCGTTTGTGTGTGTGTGTTTCTGTTTGTATGAGTGTGAGTTTCTGTTTGTGTGAGTGTGAGTTTCTGTTTGTGTGAGTTTCTGCTTGTGTCAGTGTGTGTTTCGCTTTGTGTGAGTATGTGTTCTCGTGTGAGTGTGTGTTTCGCTTTGTGTGAGTATGTGTTTCTCTTTGTGTGAGTATGTGTTCTCGTGTGAGTGTGTGTTTCCGTTTGTGTGAGTATGTGTTCTCGTGTGAGTGTGTGTTTCCGTTTGTGTGAGTGTGTGTTTCGCTTTGTGTGAGTATGTGTTCTCGTGTGAGTGTGTGCTTCGCTTTGTGTGAGTGTGTGTTTCGCTTTGTGTGAGTATGTGTTCTTGTGTGAGTGTGTGTTTCGCTTTGTGTGAGTATGTGTTTCGCTTTGTGTGAGTATGTGTTCTCGTGTTAGTGTGTGTTTCGCTTTGTGTGAGTATGTGTTTCGCTTTGTGTGAGTATGTGTTCTCGTGTTAGTGTGTGTTTTGCTTTGTGTGAGTGTGTGTTTCGTTTTGTGTGAGTATGTGTTCTCGTGTTAGTGTGTGTTTTGCTTTGTGTG